TCTCGACATCAAGCTCGACGTTTCCCAGTTACATTACAAGCTTGATTGGCGATCTATAATATTGGCAGATATCTGGGTGTGGTTAGAACTTTGTCGATGGCAGGTGCTAAAATTGTGCACATGCGATCCTCCTCGAGCTCCCAAATCCCTAGCAATCAGGTATCATGATACTGGCAGGATGGAGGGCCAAAACGCTTGGCATCGGCTTGCACTTGATGGCTTGCAGGCTGTGACGACTTTTCTCGAAGAATGCCTTGAAAGGCAGACACAAAGAGACCAACGCTTCAGTCTGGAGGCCATGATCTTGTGATGAAATAGGGAGACAACAGGGTAATGTCTGATTTGATAGGAGGGAGAAGTTGAGAACATGCGTGTCGCAGAAGTGCTTATTGTGCTCTGTTGAAGCAGAATACACACTTCCGCTTGATTCTGTATTCTCAGTGCTCACTCTTATTTTGTTCCACCTTGGTGGAGCCGAACATGGTACCAACTGCGATCACAAATACACTCTTTTGACTTTCGAGCCCCGACGCAGATCTTGAAGTTTTCGAGCAACTCACCTGTGATCGCCGCACATGTAACATTAACCAGGATACAAGTAGCCCCATTTGGGGGGGGGGGTTTTTTTTTTGATTTTTTGATTTTTTTGATGTTCCAGTCGCGGTTCTCGTCCTCGCTAGATGGCTCAACCCCTTTCCCCACTGCTGGGCTCTGGGTGCTACTTTGGGTGCCGAAGGTTAATGATTTAGCGTGATTCGGAGCGACATCCAGCAGCGCCGGGATTGGCCCAGAACACCGCTTATCGCTCTACAGTGCCCCGAGAGTGCGCCTTCCGCCGCCAAACTGGGCCACAAGGTCCAGAACTAAAACTCCAATGGTCTCGCAACTTGCTCCCTAGCTAAGACATATAATAAATAAATACATCGAGGGAGCGCGGGGCAGAACTCTTCGTGTTTGCAGCCCCTCGTTCACTCTCGTTCCTTTAATAGGAATTCAAGAGCATTTCAACACAATCACTCAGTCAGTCACTCACTTCATCCCGCTTCTGAACATGGCTCTCCTTCATATTCTCCACGAACTGGGCCTCCACTCCCTTTACAACTCGCCTCGAGACACCAAGATCCTAATCCTGCAACGTTTCATCCGATTCTTTGCATTCGGAGGCTCGACGATCGTGCTCGCTCTCTATCTCCACGCGATAGCCATCCCTGATGCCCAGATCGGACTGTTCATGTCCTTGACACTCGTCGGGGATGTGATTAGCTTCGGACTGACTCTCTTTGCTGATGGCGTTGGACGGAAGATCGTGCTTGGAGGAGGAGCTCTACTGATGGTCATGAGCGGGGTCGTATTCGCTTTCACGGGCAACTTCTGGTGTCTGCTTGCTGCAAGTGTTTTTGGGGTTATCAGTCCGAAGTATGTCTTTTCTGTTCGTCCAGTCTTTGGTTTCGTCTGAACTAATCGTATCACAGCGGGAGAGAAATCGGACCTTTTAGTGCTATTGAAGAATCCACACTCGCTCATCTCACCAAGCCAGAGATTAGAAGTGATATCTTTGCCTGGTATGTACTCATCGGCTCAGCTGGTAACGCCTTGGGCAAATTGACTACGGGCTGGGTTGTGCAAGAATTGCAGAGTCGGCAAGGATGGAGCCCCGTGAGGTCTTATCAGGCAGTGTTCCTGGGCTATGCCGGGCTCGGGTTCTTGAACGTGCTCTTGACTTGCGTGCTGAGCTCGAGGGTTGAACTCCCTGAGCATGAGGATCAGAAAGATTCAGATGGCGAAGAAGAGCCACTGCTCTCAGACACTGATTCTACCAACGAGGTATCTGTTGCGAAGAATAAGAGGAGATCACTGTTGCCAAGGATTAGCAAAGAGAGTCGAATTGTCCTCTTCAAGCTTTGCTTGCTGTTTGCTCTGGATTCTTTGGCATCTGGTTTGGTTCCAGCGTAGGTTATCCCTCTCCCTTTGTTGAACTTCTTCTGATCCGCTTGCTAATTGCTATCTAGTTCCTTGGTCACCTACTTCTTCAATCTCAAATTCAAACTCCATGAGGGTGACCTTGGGACCCTCTTCTTCGTCGCCGGCATTCTCTCTTCTCTATCGTCTCTGGTTGCTGTCTCCCTCTCTCGACGCATTGGTCTCATCAATACCATGGTCTTCACGCATCTTCCCTCCGCTATCGCTCTTTGCCTCATTCCGATGCCACCATCCCTAGCTGGAGCCATCTTCTTTCTGCTCCTACGATCATCACTAGCCTCTATGGATATCGCGCCTAAAGCTGCATTCCTCTCGGTTGTAGTACAACCTGGCGAAAGAACGGCTGTCATGGGATTCATATCGGTTGTCAGAACCGCAAGTCAGAGCTGTGGCCCAGTCATCACAGGGGTGTTGGCTCAATCCGGAAGGTTCTGGGTGACTTTCGTCGTTGCAGGAAGTCTGAAAGCTACATATGACTTGGGCCTTCTGACGGGATTCAGAGGCCACAAAACCGAGATGGACAGAGCTGAAAGAACAGCCAGGAGAAATAACGAGGAGGTCGACGAATAGGATCCGTATTTTGAATCTCTCGAAAGTAAGATTTGATATCAAGCAGCCATTATTGGCTGTCCATCTTCACCTTCAAGCCGGAGAGCAGACTTACAGCCACCTCCACCTGTACTTATCTCATTCTGAGAGATTTTTGTTCTCTAGCAGCCAATCTAGGGACGTTCTTTGCTTGGTGTCATGCACCTATGGTGTGATAGGAGGGTGGGCCAACTGAAAACGCAGACGTGCATAATGCACTTCGCTTCTATTACTTGCCTCAAACTCAGGCTAGAGGACGAGACGAAATACTAATATGGAGAACTTCCCCATACTTACAACTCTGGGCTCCTTGTTCCTACATCAAGTCCTCTCCAAGATCTTCGCCTGGTGAAGCCTTAAGTTTCGCGTCACTCACCACCAAGCATTTCGCTCGCAACCATGAATCTCAAGAAGGACTGGAAAGATGAGCTCGACGAGTTCGGAGACCGATTGAGGGCCAGAAAGGCGGCGGAGAAATATGCTCCATGGCACCCGAGAAATGTCATCCTCCACCCTACTCGAACATGGCGCCTCGCATTTGGCATTGTTGGCGACAGTGAGATGGAGAGAGCTTTGGCTCACATGGATTCGGGGACTGCGGGGAGCAAGGATAAGCCGAGACCTAAGCCGAAGCAGAAGTGAGAGCTGATAGTGTAAGAGTGGGATTCGATGAGTGGTTGGACTCTGATTGCAGAAAGTCACCACACCGGTTTTCTTTGGGAAGGAGGATTTCGTGTTCCATATGTTAGGAAATTCTCTCATGAAAGTCAATTGTTATACCAAAGCCCAATCATATCTTGGAAACTCATCTTTTTCGTAAAGCTTGATGCAAATGAGTGAGGTTCACTTCACCTAGTACGATACATATCGGGGCTATCAACTCGGAAGGTGAAAGTGAGGCTACGATCCGAAGGGCACTCATATTCAAGTTCGCATCTCAGACAACAAACCTTTTCTCCTCGAGACAGTTAATGATAGGCACTTGGAAGGGCCTGAACATCACGTGAGGATCAAACGAAATGCTGGGGAAGGAACGACGCTCAATCTGGAATAGCGGGGAATTAGTTAATTCCCCGCATCTCGACTCGCGGGTTTCCTGGCCGGACCGAACTGTTTCTTCTCTGTGCCATACCATAGTGCAATCTGCTCCCGTGATGTGTGACTATGAACCTTCTTGAGGATCAAGTTACAGATCTCAATTATCTCGCCAATACCCCAATAGCCCCAATCTCTCCCATCGCAATAGCCGGCAGCATGAACGGCCAACGTCAATCCTCGAGTGCGGAGAGTCCCGCGGAGCAAGGCCCAGGGAGCGGAAAGAAGAGGAAAAACGACGAAACAGATGCCAACGGAAATACGCATACACGAGCAAAGAGGAATAGATACATTTCCATTGCATGGTATATCTGCTATTTTATTCAATGGCCAAGACTGATTCAGAATCCAGCAATGAGTGCAAGCGTCGCAAGATCAAATGTAATGGAAACACCCCTTGTCAAAGATGCGGAAACCTCAACCTCGAATGCCAATATGCCCCGAATTGCTGCTCCAATGGCTTCAAAGAGTCCGAGGAGTTCAAGCAGATGAATGCGCATCTTGTTTCCCTGCAAGAGCAAGTCGATAATCTGTATGCGAACCTCAATGCTATGCGCGCTGGCGCAGATGCAATGAGTTATATCGCTCCGTCCGAAGGCTCTATATCTGTCTCCCAACCTCCACCAATCTCCCCATCAAGTCGATTTCGGCCTGCTCCCAAGCACAACTCGTTCCGAGGACCGACCAGCTCGGCCTTCAGTCTCGATGTTGCGAAGAACACACTGCATAATATGGGATACCAAGGTCTGGGTGACGAAGGAATTATTACGCAGGATCCAACACCAATGGCGTCTCCACGTAACATGCAACCGCCCACTACAGCCATACTTGCTGGCCGCCCAGATCGTGATCCCATATGGGCATTGAGCAAGGAGGAAGTAATCCGACTTTGTAGAGTGTACGAAGAGGAAATGGGACTTATGTACCCTGTGGTAAACATCGAGCAAGTAATCATCCATGCAAACAACATTTACAACTTTATAAATGCTGTCTTACAGAATGGACTGGAAAATCCTAATGCGCCAGGAAAAGGAGTCAATGACGAGCAGTCACTAGTGCTAAAGATGGTGATTGCTTGTGCTGCAGTAGTTGAGGGGAATGGACAGAGTGAGATAGGTTACCGCTTGTTTGAAAGTGTTAGAGAGGCAGCAGACCGAATCTTGCATGGAGAGGCGATTGAGGTTAAAAATCTGCCGCTTCTCGTGATTGTGGTGGGTCAAAAGCTCCTTATGTTTGCACAAAACCAAAAGTTAAAAAGTTATTTTTATTTTTTATTTCTTGCATTATTTTTTGAGAAGGGAACAAAAAATTGGAGAGCACATGGACCTTGGTTCTTATGCCTGCCCTGGGAATCGAACCCAGGTTACTCTCTCGGTCCACGACTAATAGACTGATAGTCAGTCGTATTGGATACCCGGAGAGTGTCATTACCACTAGACTAGGCAGACTGTTGTTTTTGCTAAAAATCCCTTATTTGGGTACATATACCCCTGTCAGAAAAATGGACCTCGTTTGGACGTCCAAAATCGGCAAGCATATCTCTTGCAAAAGCAGGTCGGAAGAAGTTCGAAGACTTAATGCCAGTGCATTGCCACTTGGACTTTACAACTTCTCTTCGATTGTTATTTTGGAGTTCTATTGTCTTTATTGTGTTCTTGTTTATGCTTATTCTATGGAAAATCTAAAGGTTCCAATTTGCTGATCGGTGTTTACAGTCAATGTACCACTTCCACTGTGATGAAGAAGCTTTGGCTTGGCGAATCATTGGTCAGGTTGCTCGAATGTGTATCGAGCTTGGTTTACACCGGAGAGAATCGCTTTTTAAGGTGGTTACGGATGAAGAGGAACGATCGAATGCTGTTAAGTTGTTCTGGTCGGTTTACGTACTAGATCGTAAGTCTCAGTTTTCGGAAGGCACCCTCGTCTATTCCCACTTCCAATGTACCAAGAGTTGATGGACATTGGCCATTTGGTTCGAAGTCAATGTTCAGCAGCCTCTGAAACATTCTACCTGGTACATCGCTTATAGATAGCATGCTGACTTTGGCGTTTCACAGGACGATGGAGCTTCGGTACTGGCATGCCTTTTGCGTTACAGGACTCTGATATTGACCCAAATTTGCCTGAGCCAGTGAGCATTAAAGCAAAATTTCAAATGCCATAAATACTAATGTTTCTCTATAGGACATATCCATTCCTTACCTCAATGTGATGATTTCTTATAGCCGCATTGGATCCAAAGTCTGGCAATCTGTTTGCTCCTTCTCGCCTTTACAAAGCCCGACTCTGAACACCGATCAGATCGGCTACCTCGATTACCAGGTCCTTCAATGGCAGAAGACTATCCCACGAGAGCTACAGCTTCCTACAGCTGGAGCACCCCAGAACTCGTCACGAGCCATACACCGACTCCAAATACTCCTCTATCTCCGAAGCAACCAAATGCGCATCCTGATATACCGCCCGGTTCTGCACAGCGCATCCTCCATCCAAGAGAATCCTGGTCACGCCAGCCAAGTCGTCGAGCTCGCCAAGGATACCGTCCGCGCGCTCACACACCTCAACCAAACCTCCGACATCTACCGCGTGCAGCAAGTCTGCTTCAACTACTTCCTCATCTCGGCCTTAGCGGTCATTTTCCTCGCCAGCTGTCACGCTCCCGTCCAGTTCAGCTCTATCTGCCGCGAGGAGTTCTACATGGCGCTCGACCTCGTCAAAGGCTTCAGCACGAAATCCTTCGTCAGCAAGCGCTTGTGGAAGACCATCAAGGGGCTGAAAGAAGTTGGTCCGAAGCTCGGCCTCTCTCCTGATGTCGCCGGCAATGGCCATATAAGTGCCGAGGATCCGCATTCTTCCGCGGCACTGGCGATGGCTGGGCTTGCGGGGCACGATATCGGACTGGGTAGTGCGTTTGGTGGGGATGGTATGAATGGTGGGCTCGGAACTGGGAATAGTCCGATGAATGGGTTTCAAATGAGCCATGAGATGACGAATCTTTTTGAGGCGGCGTTGGGGAGTGTTGGTCAGGGCATGAATGGCAATGGTGGCTATGTGCAAATTCCTGATGGTGATGCTTTGGCCGGGATTGGAAGCAATGTTTTTGGAGGTGATGAGGAGTTGTATAGGCAGTTGAGGGATCTGTTCTGATGTCCTTCGGATAGGCGCCCTGGCAAACGGTGGTAGGGCATGTATTAGTTACGAACGGATGAAAAGCAAATGGGTTTTGGTTATAACCATGCATCGCTATGAAAAATCGACTACTTTTACACATCACGGAAATGGAATCGCACTCTCGATCGTGCCTACACACTCTCCAAACCCTACCAGAGCTCCAGGCTCACCACCACAGACTCCACGAATAGTAATTGTATCTCCGTCCTTCAAGAACTTCCTCACATCCATGCCCGCTAACATAATCTCCTTCTTCCCACCCGCACTCATCTCCAGCAGACTCCCCAAGCCAGAGTCATCTTTCGTACTGATTGTCCCACTCCCCAGCAAATCACCCGGCTGCATCGCACACCCACCAACCGAATGATGTGCAATCATCTGCGGAAAACTCCACACCAGATTCTTCCCCGTCCCCTTTGAGATTGTCGTCGTGCTCCCATCCGGCGTCGTAAGATCAACTTCCAGCTGAATATCAAACACAGTATCATTCCGCGGCTCAACCAAATACGGCAACAGCTTCGTCTCATTCGGCAGCTTATCCGCTCTATACGGTTCTAGAGCATCGAACAGCACCACCCACGCACTGATCGTTGTACCAAAGTTCTTCCCGTTGAAGGGGCCAAGAGGCACGTATTCCCAGGCTTGAATATCGCGCGCTGACCAGTCGTTCATGAGCACGAAGCCAAAGATGCTCTGCTCCGCCTCTTTTATCGGGACAGGCTCGCCCATCGGGTTCGCTTTGCATAGAAGACAGCCCAGCTCAAGCTCGATATCTAAACGCCGACTTGGGCCGAAGGTTGGTACTTTGGGGTCGGCGGTTGGATCGAGCAGTAACTGGCCATTGGGTCTGCGAATCGTGGTCCCTGAGACCACAACCGTGGAAGCACGCCCATGGTATCCAATTGGGATATGGTAATAATTGGGCTGTAAAGCGTTTGCAGGACCTCGAAATAGACTGCCTGCATTGAAAGCATGGTTTACGCCTGCGTAGAAATCGGTGTAGTCGCCTATTTGCATAGGCAGATGCGTTTTCGTCTCGTGCTTGGGGAGGAGAGCGGATTTCTGCAGGGCGGTGTTGTCTTTTAGGATTTGTGGGTGGGAGGTAGTGTCGGAGAATAGGTCTTGGAGGTATTTGCGGACTTCGCGGTGGACTGGTTGGCCCAGGGCGGCGAAGGCGTTGAGTGTTGGCTGTGAGAAGACGGAGAGGTGTGGTTTGAGGGAGGGGAGGCCTGAGAAGCCATCTCCCGTCGCGAAGGCTTGGAGGTCGAGGACGTGGTCGCCGATTGCTACTGCAGGCCGCTTCTCGGTTTGCGAGTATTTGGAAGTGATAATTCCAAATGGGATGTTGGAGAGGGAGAAATGGCTGTCCGAAGGGATGGAGAGCCAGGATTTGAGGGGCGCCATGGTGAAGGTTCTGACTGTGATGGTGAAATGTAACTTTTTGGAATGAAGCTTGAAGAAAGGACGAGAAAGTGTACGGAACATAGAGGAAGGGTGTTACTTGACCTGAAAGAAATTTTGAAGCTATCAACAGCTCCCAGGAACGGCAAAGCAAGGGTCGGGAGAAATGCGGGGCCACGCGGGGTTGCTGCGGACGAATTCCGCGCTGACCCCTGACTTCCGCATTGGGTCACTGCGCATCTGCTCCAGCATTGATCGCCTCTTCCCCACGCACCACAGTCCACTCGAGGACTGCAGTGCGGAATGGCAACGCCCTCACTCCGGAGAAGTGACGATGGACCAGCGGATGGTCCAATGAGATGGTGGCTAAATCTCGATGCCAGACTTCACCTGACCGCGGAGGGGTTGTGAGTCGCGGGCTGCGTGCTAAAATTTAGAGAATTAGGTTCCTGGTGTAACTTCATCAGTCTGACATATAACAAGTTGCTTCATACTTCCTCTTCCTCTTCCTCTTCCTCTCAGATCATCTCCATTGCAACCATGTCTTACCAAACTACCGGCATCGCCTTGATCGCCGTCATCTTCTTCCTCATCCGCTACCTCAATCGAACAGACACCCCAAAGGTCAAGAACCTTCCTGAGATACCCGGTATCCCACTCTTTGGGAACCTCCTGCAGTTCGGTAGCAGCCATGCAAAAGTAGCCGGGCAATTGGCAAAAAAGTACGGGCCAGTATTCCAAGTCCGACTTGGAAACAGGGTATATCTTTCCCAGCGGATAAGTCCGGTATAATGTACTGACGGAGAACAGCGGATCATTTTTGCAAACACTTTTGACTCAGTTCGGCATCTATGGATCACGAATCAGTCAGCTCTGATCTCACGGCCGACTTTACACACGTTCCATACCGTGGTGTCGAGTTCTCAAGGTTTCACCATTGGCACGTCGCCCTGGGATGAGAGCTGCAAGCAGCGTCGGAAAGCTGCAGCAACAGCACTCAACCGGCCTTCAGTCCAGACGTACATGCCAATCATCGACCTAGAATCCAACGTCTCGATCAAGGAACTCCTGGAAGACAGCGGGAACGGCAAGAAGGACATTGATCCCATTGCCTATTTCCAACGATTCGCCTTGAACACATCATTGACACTCAACTATGGATCAAGAATTGATGGCAAGATTGATGATGAGCTATTGCAAGAAATCTGTGATGTGGAACGGGCTATTAGCAACTTCAGATCTACCAGCAACAACTGGCAAGATTATATTCCGTTGATGAGACTGCTACCAAAGTCCAGTGATGGAGCTGTGGAGTACAGGGAACGGAGAGACAAATACCTTACATTCTTGTTAAGCAAGCTCAAGAAGCAGATTGAAGAGGGAACAGACAAGCCGTGTATCACGGGCAACATTTTGAAAGATCCAGAGGCGAAGCTGAACGAGAGTAAGTCGTCTATGATCTTGTTAGAGTTTTCAGGCTAACATGTGAAAGATGAAATCAAATCTATCTGCTTGACCATGGTGTCAGCTGGTCTTGATACCGTTCCTGGCAACCTCATCATGGGAATCGCCTACCTCTCCTCCCCTCAAGGTCAAGAAATACAAAAGCGAGCTTACGAAGAAATCATGAAGGTCTATCCCGACGGAGATGCCTGGGAGCGCTGTCTAGTGGAAGAAAAAGTTCCCTACGTAACAGCATTCGTGCGGGAAGTTCTCAGATTCTTCACCGTCATCCCAATCTGCTTGCCAAGGACTAGCATCAAAGACATCAAGTACGAAGATGCTGTCATCCCGGCCGGCACAACATTCTACATGAATGCCTGGGCTGCCGACTTCGACGAGTCTCACTTCAAAGATGCCAAATCCTTCGTCGTCG